GTCGGGACCGAGGTAACTCGTCATCATCAACAGCTCGGCTGCTTTCATGAGACACGACCGGGTCAGATCGCGAACGACCTTACTTTTGAGCCATCCTCCACGCATCCAGCCACCTATCCTCTCATCCTCACACTTTCCAAATCTTGCACCTTTCTACCGTGGGATCTTTGCTGATACCCATTTGACTTTACAAATACCTTTGTTGCTTGCTTGCATAGGAGATTCCTCAAGCGCAACTTCTTTCCGCGAAAGAACGAAGGGGTAGCCTCTTCCAACAGCACAGAGAACACATCATGGCTGCGCAGGAGCTGCGATATGATGGCCAGACCGTTGTGGTCACGGGCGCTGGTGGTGGTCTCGGTCGCGAGTATGCTGTCTTCTACGGCAGTCGCGGCGCGAACGTCGTTGTGAACGACTTGGGCGGCAGCTTCAAGGGCGAGGGCGCGGGCTCAGCGGTATGTCTCTTCAGCTCTAGTCCTTCATTCACTGCTAATTCACCCGACAGGCCGCAGACAAGGTCGTTGACACCATCCGCTCCGCTGGCGGAAAGGCGGTCGCCAACTACGATTCGGTCGAGAACGGAGAGTCCATCATCAAGACTGCTATCGACACATTCGGTCGCATTGACATCCTCATCAACAATGCGGGTATCTTGCGCGATGTCAGCTTCAAGAACATGAAGCAGGCAGACTGGGATCTGATCTACCGGGTCCACGTCCTCGGAGCATACAAGTGCGCGCATGCCGCGTGGCCATACTTCAGGAAACAGAAGTACGGAAGGGTGATCAGCACTGCGTCTGCTGCCGGTCTTTTTGGATCTTTCGGACAGACAAACTACTCTGGTATGCACATGCGTCTTGTGAAGGAATGATAGTCTGCTAACTTCAACAGCTGCCAAGCTCGCTCTTGTCGGTTTCACCGAGACACTCGCAAAGGAGGGCTTGAAGTACAACATCCTCTGCAACGTCGTCGCCCCGATCGCCGCCAGCCGAATGACCGAGACCGTCATGCCTCCGGATGTTTTGGAGAAGATGAAGCCTGAGTGGATTGTCCCGCTCGTCGCTGTCCTTACACACAAGTCGTCTACCGAGACTGGCGCTATCTTCGAGGCGGGCGCGGGTCACGTCGCCAAGCTACGATGGGAGCGAGCCTCTGGTGCTCTGTTCAAGGCAGACGAGACCCTCACACCCGAAGCTGTTCCAGCCAAGTGGAAGGACATTGTCGACTTCTCCAAGGCCGAACACCCACAAGGCCCGGCGAACGCGCTTGAGCTCCTCGAGCATGCCAACCAGCTGCCACCCAACCCCAAGGGCGAGCCCCTTGACTTCAAGGGCAAGGTCGCTCTTGTCACTGGTGGAGGTGCTGGTCTCGGTCGCATCTACTGCTTGCAGTTGGCGAAGCGTGGTGCCAAGGTCGTCGTGAACGATCTCGTGAACCCCGACAACACCGTCCAGGAGATTCAGAAGCTTGGTGGAGAGGCTGTTGGCAACAAGGGCGATGTTCAGGACGGCGAGTCTGTCGTCAAGACCGCCATTGATACGTATGGCCGCATTGACATCCTGATCAACAACGCGGGTATCTTGCGCGACAAGGCGTTTGCCAACATGACCGACGAGCAGTGGGACATCATCCACAAGGTTCACCTGTTCGGTACCTACTCCTGCACCAAGGCCGCCTGGCCTTACATGCTCAAGCAGAAGTACGGCCGCATTCTCAACACCACCTCTACCAGCGGCATCTACGGCAACTTCGGCCAGGCCAACTACGCCTCAGCCAAGTGCGGTATCCTCGGTTTCTCCAAGTCCCTCGCTCTTGAGGGCAAGAAGAACAACATCTTCGTCAACACCGTTGCTCCCAACGCCGGTACTCAGATGACCCGCAGCATTTTCCCCGAAGAGGTTGTACAGGCCCTCAAGCCCGACTACAACGCTCCTCTCGTCATTCTCCTCGTTTCCGACAAGGCTCCCGAGCCAACAGGTGGCCTATACGAGATGGGTTCTGGTTGGTTTGCGGCGACCAGGTGGCAACGCTCTGGCGGACACGGCTTCCCCGTGGACGTCAAGCTCACTCCCGAGGCTGTCCTCTCCCAATGGGAACGTATTACCAACTTCGACGATGGCCGTGCCGACCACCCCTTCGACAACGCTAGCGGTCTCAAGTCTATCATGGCCAACATGGAGAACACGAGCAAGAAGAGCAAGAAGGAGAAGAAGCCCACCAAGAGCAACGAGGAGGTCCTCGAGGCTCAGAAGAAGGCCTTGGCCGCTAAGGCTGAAGGCACACCCTTCGAGTACACCGAGAGGGATGTCATTCTTTACAGTAAGTCAGCTTCATTCCGCAAGATGAACTACAACTAACACTATCTCCAGACCTCGGAATCGGCGCCAAGCGCACCGACCTTCCCTTCGTCTACGAAGGCGACGAGAACTTCCAAGTCATCCCCACCTTCGGTGTCGTCCCCCCCTTCAACGCCGAACCCCCCTTCTCCTTCGACGAAATCGTCCCCAACTTCGACCCCCGCATGCTCCTCCACGGCGAGCAATTCCTCGAAATCCGAAAGTTCCCCATCCCCACCGAAGCCAAGCTCGTCGCCGTACCCAAGCTAGTCGAGGTCGTAGACAAGGGCGCCGCAGGGCTCGTGGTATACGGAAGCGTAACCAAGGACGCGAAGACAGGCGAGGAGATCTTCTACAACGAAAGCACAGTCTTCATCCGCGGCTCCGGCAACTTCGGCGGCCAGAAGAAGGGCGCGGACCGCGGCGCCGCAACGAAGATCCACAAGGCACCGGAACGCGCCCCCGACACCGTCGTCGAGGAACGCACAACCGAGGAGCAAGCTGCTATCTACCGTCTCTCCGGCGACCTCAACCCCCTACACATCGACCCCCAGTTCAGCAAAGCTGGCGGCTTCCCCACACCCATTCTGCACGGCTTGTGCAGCTTTGGTATCTCCGGTAAACACGTTCTGCAGACGTATGGTCCGTTCAAGAACATCAAGGTCAGGTTTGCGGGTGTTGTGCTGCCGGGTCAGACACTGATTACTGAGATGTGGAAGGTGGGTAATACCGTGCTGTTCCAGACTAAGGTTAAGGAGACGGGTAAGCTGGCTATTAGTGGGGCTGGTGCGGAGTTGATGGGGGGTGGGAGTAAGTTGTAGATGTGAAGGAACATGAGAGGGGGCAGGTTTATAGGTATTGACGGGTGTTGATGCCTTGTTGTATATATGTAGTGTTTATGTTATGAGTTCATCTTCCAGAATATGCGTTCGACTTAAAAAGCCTGAACCATGACCACCGCTTTCGTTCCGCACAAGGACCTTATTCGTTCCACAGTATATGGTCTTCCCACGCCGGTCGGCGTATTTTGGGAGGAGGAGGAGGCTTGAAGTCATGCGGCTCAAGATAGGTCCCGTAAAAAGGGTCTCCTCGACCCAAATGCGGAAGAGCGTTAATGAAACTATACATGTTGGAGTCGCTCATGTTGAAGTCGCTGTCATCACTCAGAGTGTCTTTCTTGGGCTCGACATCATCATTAGCATCGTACTCCGACTCGTCGGAATGTTCCACGTCCGCTATGTTGCTAGCTTGATGGTAGACCTTGTGTCGTGAGCGAAGGCGACTGTCCTGTTTGGGTTCAAGAGTCGTGTTAGTGTGTGTGTGTGTGTATTTGTGTGCGTGAAGATGATGACAGTGATGAAGACAAGCACTTACGGAGTTCAAATAACGTTCTGCTTCCACGCGCCAGGCGTCATTGCCACTCTTCAGCGCAGGAAGCAAGTCCCAGGTAATCTTCGGACAGAGACTTTCCTTGTCATAGGTAAAAGTAGCTTCAACTTGTGCGCCCTCGGCCTCAAACACAGTAACTACATGCCGCAGCGCATTGAAAGCTGTAGACCATGAGTTGAAGCTAATGTTCCTCTGCCTCAATAGGATGATCAATTTGAAGTCGGTTTTGCGCTTGATGCTGAGGAGCGAGTCGATGCAATCCTGAGTCGACTCGCCGTCACGACTCGTGAAGAGACTCTCAACATGGAGGTCAAGCGTCAGACTGCGAAGGAACTTCGTCGGATCCAGGCCAACGAAAAACACATCCCTGCGTATATTGTGCTGAAGCTCAATAAGGTCCCCTATGTTCCACATCTTAGGCCACCTTGTACCGATGATTTTGTACCACGCCTCCACAACTTCTCGAGCTGTTTCCTGGCCCACGTATCCCGGCCTGACGAAGAAAGGGGTCCAGGTATGCAGGTAGCAGGGATGCAGGTAGCAGGTGTATCTTGTGCCTGGCTCGTACGTCGAAGCCACCTTTTGGCATTCTTCTTCCTTGCCTTTACGTGCGCCTCTACACCGGCGGTGGACGAGGTAGGCCATTGAACCTTGTGTTGATTGAAGTGTAGGCGCGTCCCATACATGCTTGTACACCATGTTGCGCAGTTCCAAGGGGAGACGCGCTTGCATTTGTTCGCAAAAAGCAAGGTTCCATGTTGCGCAGACACGGCATATCGCTTTCACCAAGGGACGGTACCTATTTGGTAGACGTCATATCAGATTAACGTCGCGATCTACTGAGCATGTAGAGCTTACTTTTTACGCAATCTTTCGTTTTCACGTCGGATGCGCGTCCGTGGGCTGAGCTCCTCCAGCGGTTTTGGATCATCGGTCATTGCCGTCTCCATGGCTGGACTTAGACAGCCTGATCGGGTGAGTGCATAGTGGAAGTTGACGCACAGTGGCTGGATACATGAAGTGAGAAGGCGCTCTAGTGGCGTCGGAACAGCTAGCGTTGCGACGACATGACGTCGGGAATCTCTGCGCTACTTCGCTGGCTGACATGCGTTATTATTCTTACGATGTTGTATCTGATCACAATCGGGCAAGGTAATGTCTTCTTCCTCGTATCTTCAGAAAGTACATATCTATAGTGAACGCAGCTCTTGTAAAGATACTAAAGCTTCACGAGCAATGCTGCCCAGTTCAACAAATTGACAAGCTTCCTGCCTTCTAGTCATCCCCCTCACTCGCGCTATCCAGCTCATACCCCTCTTCAATCTGATCCTCTCTAAACATAGTTCCATAATATCGCGGCGGCTCATAAGGGGTCCATGGAGGTTCCGGAGAAATAGATTTGCCATGTTCATCGCGGTCAGAGTCAGTTTCTTCATAGCCTAGGTAATCGTCTGACTCCCAGTCGTCCTCGCTGTAGTCCCTGCTCTTAAGTTCCCGCGGGTCGTAGTCTGCGTCGTTTTCGATGCGATAGTGTTTGTGATGCTCGCGTACGCGGGAATCCTATATGTTTGTAAGTCACTATGTGTGAGGCAGCAAGCGATGTAGAATTAGTGTGCTTACACTGTCGAAGTGACGAGCGGCTTCCTCTCTCCAGTTGGATTCGGGATTCTTCAACGCGGGGAGCATGTTGAACACCAATTTCGGTTTAAGATCTTGGGCGTAGACAAGAAGCAGCCTTACGTCCGCGCCTTCTTCCTCAAATTTTTCGATCATGGGTCGGAAGATGTCGAAGACGGTGAACCAGGGATTGAGTTGGAGGTATGACTGCTCCAACCGCAGCCTTAGTTTGAAATTCGCCTTATTCTTTATCTGGAGCAGCGCGTCGACAGTTCGTTTCGATTCGCTGGTGTCCTTGCCCTTGTTCCTTAGGAATCCGTCGGTAGTAAGCCTGAGTGTCAACTTGCGCACAACAGTTGTAGTATCCAAACCGACAGAGAAGGCGTCGCCACGGATAACGTAGTCGAGTTCGTCTGTGGTTCGTAATTCCCATATGTCGGGTTTTACTCTTGAGATCGACTTGTACCAGAATTCGACAATCTCCAAGGCCGATGCATCCCCTACGAATCCAGGTCTCATAAAGTATGGAATTTGTCCATGTTTAGGGCAGCTGTCCACTGTTCCCGGGTGATGCGTTTTTACTAGAGTGTCGCAATCTATGTCGCCCCCAGAGCAATTCCACTTAGGATGATATGTTATACGAGTATCTTTCAGTGTCTTGTCGTCCCAGACGTATGCGTATACAATGTCGCGAACTTCACGAGGCAAACGCCGTTGCATTTGCTCGAAGAAGGGGCGACTCCATGAGGCGGTGAACGCCGAGAGAGCTAACGGAAGGTGTCTGTGTTGGAGTCTTGTATGAGGTCTTTGCTCGAGTTCATAGAGATCAAGACTTACTCGCGCCGGACGTCTCTCTTGCGCTGTCGCGCTCTTGCTTCTTCGATTTTTAATGCTTTGATCTGCCTTCTCAATGCTGAGATAGTTCGCGTAGCTGTACGAATTCTGGGAGGATTCAGCACAAGGTGCACCAGTGAAGCTCTAGGAGCTTTGCGTACGTATCGTTCGCGTCTAATTCCATACCCTTGATGCTGCAACTACGTTAGAACTGATCTGACATGAGGTGCTGACAGGGCCCAAAGACCTACGCGCGAAGCCGCTGCACTGCGGACTCAGCCGATAGCTTCCAATCGATCATAGCTGCTCTCTCCATGGCTGTTTTTGGGTGGCGTGATCAATGCGGATGAACCTTGGGGGTTGAAGTCTTGTCGCTAAGAATATGAGGTGGCACGGTGGATAGGCGCTCGCGCTTTAGTGGCATCGGACCGGCTAGCATTCCGAAGATCCGAATCCCTGCACTATTAAGATGGCCGCAGTATATCATCCATACAACATGGTATATGTCAGTATTCACGAACGTCTGATGGTCGCGAGAGATTTATGTAGCATCATATGTATTGAAATGACTGAGGAGCTAACTAGTAAGGGTAGTAAACCCGAGTGAGATAAGTAATCACGTGATGCTATTCCGGCCTTCTCAATCGGAACCTGAATCTGGGTCGTACCCAGGTCCATCTAAGTGCTCAGACTCGGAGGAGGCACCCACCCAGCTGGGCGCGTCGAAGCTCTCCCAGTATTCGTACATGTCTTTGATTGCCTCACTTTCTTCCATTTCGAGATCCTCTAGCAAGTCGTTCTTCCATTGTATGAGGTCACTTCCGTACTGACGTGGCGAAGACACTGCACCTGGATAATTTCCTCGACCATCATGGCGATACCTTTCAACACTGTCATCGCTATCGCCTTCATCGCTGTAGATGTCTTCATCCGTCCCGTAAGGAGTATCGCCATCTTCGGGACGTGAAGTGGGGTCATAATCGTCGTTGTTTTCGATACGATAAGCCCTGTGTATGTCGCACAGACGTGTAACCTGGTTCACGCATATGGTCAGATGAAGTGAGTAGGATATGGATGACGGGAAGATCTTACATTGTCAAAAAAGCGTACTGCATCCTCTCGCCAGTTGGATTCTGGATGTCTCAGAGCGGGGAGCATATCATACTTCGGTACTCGACGTGGGTAGAAGCTGTCGTACACGAACTGGACCCGCACACGACCTCCCGCTTTCTCAAAGTTGACAACTGTATCCCTAAATGTGTCGAAGATCCGCTGCCAAACGTTGAGCCTAATGTATTTTTGGAGGACCCGAAGAGTCAGCGTGAAGTCCCTTTTCTTCTCGATAGACAGAAGCCTTTTGAAGTGGAGCTTATAAACATGCTCGCCGTCTGATTCTTCTTCGAGGATCGCGATTGTTGAATCAGCGTTCAAAACGACAGCTAGCCTTCGCAAAATAGCTGCAGGCTTCAGACCAACATGAAATTTGTCTTGATGAAGGAAAGACGGTATGTCAGTCACATGTATTCCCATTGCATAGTAGTCGTTACCGCGAGCCAAGCGACTATACCAAGCTTCGATCATTTCAAGGGCAGAGTCTTGCCCGACGAAAACTGGCTTTATAAAGTATGGTGCCAGGTTGTGATGGCAGCCGTCAATCGCATCCGATTCGACGAACGTCGTCATGGCTTTCTTGCAGTCTTGCCGCAAACTCCGGCAACGAGAGTCCATGATGGGTATCATACTTCTGTTTGTATCGGCCAGAGTTTTACTGTCCCAGATGTGCGCATAGACCATATCTCGGAGCTCGCGCGGTAGACGTTGTTGGAACATTTCGAAGAATGGAAGACTCCAGGCTGCAGAGTACCGCCGGATAGCTGACGGAAGATTCCTGGTGGGTAGAACTACATTAAGCTGGGGATAATGTCAAGTTTCCGAGCTCTATGCACTTACCGGAGAAGCGCATCAATCTTCCTTTTCGTCAACTCTTTGCGTTGTTTCTGTAACGCATCGAGCTTTGCATTAGTAGCTACGATTTCATCTTTGACTGAGTTGACCCTGACGCAGTTTTTAGTACAGTTTTAGAGATTGGAGAATTTCTGGAATTCACATACTCTTTCTGAGCATCGAGGTCCTTCCGCTTGATGCTGCCAGCTCGTTAGCACAAGAGCGAAGTGGGGCCGAATAGTCCGTCTCACTCGCGCAGACAGTCCAGCGCTGATTCCAGGTCTGTATCCATTGTTGCGGCTGTATATGGCGATGAGCTCACACTGTGGGAAGCGTGGGGAGTGTGAGACGTATGGCGCTCGGGGGGAGGTCAAGAAGTTAAGGGTTGGGATTATTGTACGTTTGTCAACTGCGGGCATGCGGCACAGCCGCAACCTCGGAACATTCCGATCCCTTGTCTCAGCAACAACCCTGAAGCGCAGCGAGCTGCAACTACCGAAGGAGACTCCGCATCCATCCATTAACGTTTACGTCCCCGCCTTCCTTTCTAGGACTTCCCTGCAGCCTACAGCTTTATGACAGCTCCAACATCGCGTACCACTTATAAGCCTGACTTAAACGACCTGCGCCTCCCGGAGCCATCACAACCACAATTCTGTCTCGACAACCCTCTATCAAAATCAGAAGGTCGTAAGCCTGTGTCTTCGAGCAAATCCCAGTTCCAATAATCCTCCTGCCCATCGTCTGGATTGTAATCCGGCTCGTCCTCCCCTCGATAATGTCTGTTCTGATTCCTAATGCGACATTCACAGATCTACTCTGCTTGTCAGCGCCGGACACGCATGATGATAACGAGAGGGCTAGTATTACCGAGTCTAGATATTCGATTGCGCCCTGCTTCCATGTGCTTAGATCATAGCCTCTAACGATGCTGTTCAAGTCCACATAGACGTACGGTAAGGGATGCGGACCCCGACTGCAATGTATAGCCTGGACGTCGACGATAGCGCCCTCGTTGTCCAATATCTTGACAATCGGTTTCAAGAGATCAAAGAAGTCGGGCCAACAATTCAATCGGAACTTGGGAGTGCATATACGAAAGTTGAGTTGAAATCCAGTCTTCTTCTTGATCAGGTGGAGAAGATCGAAAGACTTCCGCCGTGTATCTGCGTCTGGCCACTTGCAATACGGACTAGCGAGCCTAGACGTGGTCTCGTCGAAATTGATGGTGAGAGTCCGGAGGACAGTTGCTGGGTCTAGGCCGACTTGGCACAGGTCTTCACATATGGTTTGTTTGATCGACTCCCGGATATCGGAGATTGTGAAGGTGTCTGGTGTGAGTGTAGCTGCTGTCTCGTACCACGCGCGCACTATCTCCAGTGCTGTCTCTTTGCCCATGAAGTCGGGCCGAACGACATGTGTATGGCACCTCGGATCGCAGTGGCCAGGAGGACCGGACTGCTGCCTTGGCTGTCTTGCGGAGTTGAGATACTCCACATTCCAGATCTGTGCATATATCATCTCGCGAAGCTCGATAGGCAGTAGCCCTTGCATCCTAGTAGAACACATCCTGTTCCAGGCTCTTGATAACTGCTCACAGGATGCATCGAGCTCGCTGTGTACAAGGCAACGTCAGCGATGAAAACAGTTGGGTACAGCTGGCGGTCACTTACGCCTGCACTTCCGTCTTCTTCTCCGCTGCTGATAGCCACTCTTGTTTTGCTGCTGTACGCTCCCTTTAGATGCTACATTAGCTTGCATGTCTATGAGATTCCGTAGTTTGCCATTTACCTCTCCTCCGCAGCAGCTTTTGCGCGTTTCAGGCTAGTTAGGCAGGTCAGCTTCTCTGAAGTCCAGGCAGCAGTGTATGAGGATGGAGATACGAACATGAACAGTCTATTACATGTATCGCGCACATCTTGTTCCAAATCGTACAAACTTTTCATGGTGGTGGTATAGCGCGAAAGAAGATAAGATGGCAGTCCGAGTCAAAAGCGTTTACTCTTCTTCGGAGGTCTTGAAGTGTAGATTATCATCATGTTCGTAAGGCGAAGTCGCGCTAGATTCGCGGTTTGCCCCACTTACACGTACTTCACGGGTGGCCTCACGGTTATTGAACGCCTCGTGTACGAATCTTTTCATTTTTGTTCGTGGTTCTACAATCTTAGATTGGCATGCATCCGCGCAGTGATAGCCATGCATCCTTCCTCCCAAACGAAGCAAACCCTTCTTACCGCCTACCATAGGGCGCAAGAGATTGTTCCCAAGCAGCGACAACAGGATCAGAGCCTGGATTGTCTTCTTCACTCCGATAGTAACGGTGATATGGTCTGAGTAACTCATCACCGACCTAAATTACTTGTCAGATATTACCACATAGATGAGTTGCAAGCAGCGTACCCCTTCAAAATAATCGATTAAACCCGGCTTCATGCTCTGCTCCCAAGTCGTCGGATCGTATGTCCTGATCAGGTGTTCCATATCAGTATTAACACCCGGGTCCTCATCCATGCTATCTGTCCTGTTAGGATCATAATCAGATTGAACACTGACGTGGGCTCCTTCCTGCTCAAACACCCTAACGATGGGTTGCAGGAGACCAAGGATTTCTGGCCACATGTTGAGACGAATGCAATCGTGGTAGATTCTGATTTCGAGCTTGAATCCTCTCTTCTTCTTGATGCGAAGGAGAAGATTGAACGCGTCCTGACGTGAGGTAGCGTCTTTAAAGTCGGAGTGCTCGTGGCCTAGCACGAGAGAGGTGTCGGGAACTTCGATAACCATCTTTCGGAGAGCAGTGGCTGGATCCAAGCCCACCCCGAATGTATCTTTGCATATAGCTCTCGTTAGCTGTTCACCTATGTTGTGGCTGCCGAGTACGAGCCAGGTGCAGTGGCCGGAATTCATGGCTCCGTAGTTCTCATACCACATTTGGACGTTCTCTTTTGCAGCTTCGACTCCCACGTAGTCTGGTAGGACGACGTGCGAGATGCGCAGAATACGATTGGCCCCCGGACAGTGGTAATGCGTGGATTCTTCCTTAGCCTTCCAGGCCACCTCAAAGCCTTCAAAGCCTTTCAAGTAGTCTTCATCCCAGAATTCGGCATTGATCATGTCTCGGATCTCGCGCGGTAGCCGGTCGTGCATTCTGGCATAGTAAAGTTTGTTCCAGGCTTTTGAGTGTGACTCGTACGATGCTTCCAGTTCTTTGTTCAGACTGTGTCTGTAAGCTATTGCTCACCGTGAAGTTGCATCTTCTCGTAATCATAAGAACTCACGCTGTCCACTCGTTCCAATCATCATCACTCCAAGAGTAGCTACTTGCCATCCATAGTTCACTTGAGTCAACCATTAGCTTCCTTCAAATCTTTGACAGCATCTAGTATGAACGTGCTTACTCGTTCTGACGACGTTTGAGCCTGTACAAATTAGCCAAGATGAGCGGCGACGTAGTACGTCAACCACCTACTGAAAGACTCGGTCCTGGACGCGTCGTAGTTCTTGATGGAGCTCACGTAAATCCGCCATGTTTGATGTTGAGGGTAAAGAGAAGTGGGTTGTTGTTCGAGGCTACAGGTTTTCCTTCCATGTATTCTTTGTTTGGTTCAGGCTTTGTGGAAGCGAGTCGACAACCACGTTCATGAAGGACTCGGAACCAACCGGAGCGCTACCGCGTGGAGCGGAATCAACAACACAGATGACGCCTGAAACCTCCCACTAAATGAGGGCGAGAGCGAAGATCGTTGGAAGATTGTCGCGTCGCGTCATGTTCACGTGCGCCACAGCACATCCGCCATCTTCGCAACCTGCGCCATCTCCTTAACATCATGGACCCTCAAAATATGCGCACCACCCCTGATAGCCGCTGCCACCCCAACAGCAGTCCCCCAGACCCTATCTTTCGCTTCCTTGACCCCCGTAATATCCCCAATAAACTTCTTCCGACTCGTGCCCACAAGCCAAGGAATGCCTTCTAGACCCGGATACCTCGTCAACTCATCCTGTCGGCGAAGTAGTTCAAGATTATGTTCCTTTGTCTTCGCAAAGCCAATTCCAGGATCGAGGACCATGCGCCAACGCCTGACACCCGCCTTTTCCGCAGCAATAACGCGCTCGACGAGTTCGCGGCCTACGGTCTCTACGATGCCGTCGGGGTAGGATGTCATTTCAGGACTGGCCATGGTTTCCGGCGTGCCGCGCATGTGCATGAGACATACTGTACAGCCGAGTTTGCCCATGGTGGAGAGCATTGTGTCGTCCATGGTACCTGCACTGACGTCGTTGATCATGTCCGCGCCGGCGTTGATGGCCGCTTCGGCGACGCTGCCGCGGTATGTGTCGACGCTGATTGCGATGTTGTTTGTCTCTGGCATTGAGCGGATCAGCTTTACAGCTGGGATGACACGTGCTAGCTCTTCGTCGGCGGAGACCTGGACAGCACCGGGTCGTGTTGACTGTCCGCCTACGTCGATGATGGTGGCTCCGGCCGAGATGTGTTGGCGAATGGTGTTCGCTAGGGTTGCTTCATCAATATTGTAGTTCTGGCCGCCATCGGAGAATGAGTCCGGTGTGACATTCAGGATAGACATGATCCTCGTGTTATTCGCTATCCGAGAAGACGATATTGGGGAGAGATCTGGTCCAAGTGGCGTCAGCGGCACCAGCGGCACCTCTGATTTAAGGAGTCTTTTGAAATGGCGTTTGATTTGATTCGAGAATGGATAATCTTCACGCTGATTGCGCAAAAGTCTAGAGAGGATCAGCAACATTTCACTGGCCAGCTAGATGATTATCTTACTCAACAAGAGGGCGTAGAACGAACTGCCTCTCGAACATCAACGCATGCGGGATCGTAAGTCTTTCGCTGGAGAATTTCTCGTTTCCATGAAGTAAAATGTCCAAATCAATATTTCTGGGTCCTTTGTCGATGACTTTGACACGGCCCATGTCATTCTCAACTTTCTGAAGCGCGTCTAAGAGTTCGTTTGGTGACAGACTGGTTTCTATCTGTTTGCGTGAATTTGACGTTTGGAAGAAGGGACATTATTTAGCATACCTGACAGGCACCATTGACGAAGTTGTCTTGATCGAGTACGTACATGGCTTTGCTCTCCCACAAACTACTGGTTCGTACGATCTTTATTTTTCCACTTGACTCCATTTCTCTGCATGCACGTTCAATCATGGCCACTCTGTCGCCCATGTTGCTCCCCAAAGCAACGACGGCAAGTTCCTTCTTACGGTAGACAGGCTTATAAGAAAACACTTTCCGCACATCTTGCGATGGAAGCTCGCGCGGAACGCGCGAGTCGGAGGGTGTATCACATTCCTGGCGTTGAGTGGGTGACGAGTGAAAATTCGATCGATTAGAGACCTTGCTGTGGATGGCGTCAACTGAGAGGGCTACACGGCGTGGACACCGTGATGGGGCGGCCCTGAGCGTGGCTAAACATCTGGATGCATTAGTGAACATGTTAGCATGTGACGCGGTGGGACAGACAGAGGCAGGCGCGCGATGCCGATGGCCTTCCCCGGATGGCACTAGACTATATGCAGTTAGCGCTCTCCGCGTGAGACATGCGACGTGCCTCGGCTCACGGCTTACAGAGAGTCGACCAGGACTCCTCAACCATAAGAAAGGGCCCGACTCCTCAAACCTTAAGAATTCGCCCGAATCCTCGATCCACTCGTCTTCCTTTCTTGCTGTTGAAATACTTCGCATCTTCCCTCTCTCAACCGCAAACCTCCATACCGTCATCATGGCTTCACCACGTACGCATCCACGCCTCATTCACATGTGCCCAGCTGACAAACCTCAGAGCAAATCCGCACCAAGCTCACCGACCTGCTGAAGATCCAGCACCCCGTCATGCTTGCGGGCATGAACGTGGCTGCTGGACCTAAGCTCGCCGCCGCCGTCACCAACGCTGGAGGTCTCGGTGTCATCGGAGGTGTCGGATACACACCCGACATGCTCCGCGAGCAGATCGCCGAGTTGAAGGGATACCTGAACGACAAGAACGCGCCATTCGGTATCGACCTGCTCCTTCCTCAGGTCGGAGGCAGCGCGCGCAAGACCAAGTACGTACTGGCCGATTCATCACATGCCAGGCACGGGACTAACGGCATATAGCTACGACTACACCAAGGGCAAGCTGAACGAGCTCGTCGACATCATCATCGACTCCGGCGCCAAACTATTCGTCTCCGCCGTCGGTGTCCCACCCAAGGCCGTCGTCGAGAAGCTACACAAGCACGGAATCCTCTACATGAACATGATCGGACACCCCAAGCATATCAAGAAGTGCCTCGACATCGGCGTCGACATCATTTGCGCACAAGGAGGCGAGGGCGGAGGACACACTGGCGATGTTCCCACATCCATCTTCATCCCAGCAGCGGTCAAGATGGTTGAGGGCCACAAGTCGCCTTTGACCGGCGAGCAGGTACAAATCGTAGCTGCCGGCGGTATTTACAACGGCCAGTCGCTCGCTGCTATGCTCACATTCGGTGCTACCGGTGTCTGGGTAGGAACACGCTTCGTCCTCTCCGAGGAAGCCGGTGCGCCCAAGGCCCACCAAGAAGCCGTCCGCACAGCTGGCTGGGACGACAACATCCGCACTATCATCTTCACCGGACGCCCACTTCGCATCCGCACCAACCCATACGTCCAGAACTGGGAGGAGAACAGGCAACAAGAGATCAAGGACCTTACTGCCAAGGGCATATTGCCTGTTGAGCATGATCTCGAGAAGATGGGCGATGACCTCGACGACGAGACTATGGACAACGCGCGGCCGTTCCTGATGGGCAAGGTCGCTGCCGTTGTTAACGAGAGGAAGAACGCGAGGGAGATTGTTGATGAGCTCGTCACAGATGCGGTCAAGTGGTTGAACATTGGCAACTCTATGATCGTGTCCAAGTCGAAGCTATGAGGAACCATTTT